GAGCACTTATACATTTATGTGACGCTTTTCCACTCATCTTCCAGTTGTCGGTTTTCCTCTGTTGAAATCGACCAGCAGTGAAGGTGGGGGCGGGGCTTTTATACGCGAGTAGTGAAAACACTTCCGCTAGTCTGCTCGCGTGTATCCTCCCTTTCGTCTCCTCCCGCACCTCTCGTCCCTCCTCGACTCCTCCATGTGCATTTCAGCTATTGGGACGTCCTTCATCATGGCGTGTCTTGATCAATTTCCGGGTCAAGTCCCGGAGGAGGGGAAGAGAGGAGTCGAGGAGGGGTATTGGGATGAGGCTTAAGTCTCAAGGATAGGAGTCGAGGAGGGGAGTTAGAGAAATGAGAAAGGGCCCCGGTCGTTTTCTTTTAATATTTTCCACAAACTTTTTTTGCATCACCATGAATGATGGTCTTGAATCACAACTTTAAAACATTTGATGTTGCAACATTCATTTTATTTGATAAAACAGAAAAGACGTCATCAAGAAAAACGAATTACAAGTCATTAAATACATTTTAAAACACGAAACAATACATGGCACGTCTCCCAGCATGGTAAATCGTCACATGTTCACGTCTTGCCGTGATACCGGATTGACCAGGCCACACCTGATGCAATTTAAGGCCTGTAATCAGCAGCGCTCAGACTCTCCCATGTCTGCAGCAGCTGGCTGATCCCCATTGCTCTCTTCACATGCTGAACATTGATACATATTTTGAGTAAGTTGTGATTATGTTTATTGGTGGCTTATCCTTATCCTGCAAAAGCAATGTTTGATTTGTTGTACCAGAGCGTTGTGGCCTTTCCTGATTTCTATTTTGTGTTTTAGCCTTAAAATCACCCCCATCATCGGTCTGCATGTGAAGAAATACATGGTTAAACTGCTCTCACTGGTGGTCCTCATACTTTGAATGGTATGCCCAGGGGCGCCGCCAGGGATTTTGGGCCCCATGAAAATATATCACATTGGGCCCCACCACCAGGCACAGGCCACTTTGTTTATAAATTACCTCGAGGGCCGTACCAAATGGTTTAGCGGTCCATATATGGCCCGGGGGCCGGAGGTTCCCCACCCCTGCTTTAATATAATAACATTAGTATTAATATCATAACCAAAATGTTGGTGATTAACATTTTGTTTACCTAATACAGACTGATCACTCAATGCTTCAAACTGTCCATCATCCTAAATAGACTAAAAGCAGTTTTTTGTTTTATATAGATCATTGGCTATGTGGGAAAATACTGTTTGAAATGTATAATTTCAATTAGATGTTAGCTTTTTGTTATATATATATTTTGTATTCCAGTCTCCCTGCAGATATGTTAAGTGGCATGTCATTCAACACAATGCTGCTCACCTCCTTCAGTTGGGAGAAAAGCTGGTTCAGGTTCAGCCTTATGGGGGGACAGGGCTGCTGAGCTGAGAGATGGATCTGTTGGTCCTGGCACCAGGGGGAGGGACAACTGATTTAGTATGAATAGGCGCTAAAAATGTGCCTGCATTTATTAAAGGTAGGTAGGTAAGAATGGAGAAACCAGCTCGAGTGCGCTAGAATTTGAAAGTACACAACCGAAAAAAATCTGCCCCTTCCTTCAGAGTTCCTTACAGAGCCCCTCCTCCAACACACACAAACGCGCACATGACCAATGAGGGCACGAGATAAGCTTGTGCACAGATGGAAGGCTGACAGGCAGGTAGCATTTATAATAAGAACTGGATACAGCGTGGGAGGCGGGGCCTCATTCATTCCTATGAGAGCTGCTCATTAGCGCATAATGATAAAATGGCCCAACTTTTGAGAGAGTGAAACGTCACAGATTACCCAGCATGCCTGAGAAGTACCCGTATGTGCACTCATAGAGCATGCGCAACTTTAACCAAAATGCTCGTTCACATCAAGCACGTCAATTTGCGTACACGTAACAGCACCGCGCGTTCATGACAGCATGGTAATGGATTGTTGTTATCATGGATTTGATATGAACGAGGCGGCAGTTAGCAGCTAGCGGCTAGCTAGTAATGATGCTAATGTACACATCAATCGTTATGTACTTATATTACGCTGTAACAGGATCTAGTGATATCCAACAGAGCTTCATTTAGCATGAAATAATTATCGCACTGTATATATATATATATATATATATATATATATATATATATATATATATTTATATACAGTGCAATAAGCTTCTTAGTGCAATACGAAGCTACAGGGACGTTAATAATGTTGGTAATATTAACTTTATTTAATACAACATTTACGGTACAAGATTTAATCATACAGCCCATGTAGTATGATAATGAATTACAGCAAACATGTGCAATATATCCATTATTACAGCTCCGTGGGATGGCAGTAAGACGATATGGGTCCGTTCTTATTGTGCATCCATGGGTAAAGATAAACGCAACTCACATTGGTTTCTCAAACAGCATCTCTGTAAACTACGTGTATTCACTGAATTTCACTCTCTGCCTTTAACGGCTCGTAGCCAAGCCCCCAGGAAGTGCGTCGGAGTCTGATGAGAATATTCGTTGTGGCCAAATGGCGGTACTACACTTCCGTTTGGTGCTGGGCCCGGAAACACTTTTTCCCATTGACTTACATTGGGAAAGAGTGGTCTGTAACTCGTTGGATAATTTTTTTTAACTAAATAAACTACCCAGTATGAACACTTGTATAGCTCTTATTAAAAACATTCGTTCCTCAAGTTGTAAAAATGTGCTAATAACGTTATTCTGAGAGTTATTTCCCTCTGCATTATGAACGCGCATCTAACCCACGGGACCGCGCCGCCCGGCACGTTCATGTAATGTGTTCAGTACTACATGAGTTGTACCTTTTACCCATCGATGCACAATAACAACGGACATTACTGCCAGCCCACGGAGCTGTAATAATGGATATATATTGCACATGTTTGCTGTAATTCATCATTTGTAAAATATTATACTACATGGGCTGTATGATGTAAATCTTGTACCGTAAATGTTGTATTAAATAAAGTTAATATTACCGACGTAGATTAACGTTCCTGTAGCTTCTTATTGCACTTGCAATTGTTTTAGTTACTTGTGGGCTACTTAACATGAATAATCACAGTTACTATCATTTTACTCAATCACATTTCAAAAAGAAATAGGCTATTGTTATTTTAACTCCACCACAGTAATCCATCATCAGCTTTACTTTTTAGATAAAGTTTTAACTCACAATTGATCATAACAGGCTTCAACATATACATTTGTATATATTACCAAGTGGTTTCATGTACAACCCACACAAGTATCATGCTAAATGAAGCTCTGTTGCTTGGATATCACTAGATCCTGATGTCAGCGTAATATAAAAGTGCATAACGATTGATGTGTAACTTATATGGGCATAGATATGTCTCACAATTATTTGTGTGAACATAAAAATAATTCGTGTGTAATTATGTGATTTGTAAATTTAAAACAACATCCACAAATGCATTTAAAAGATTTGCAAACTCACAAATACATTTGCAAGTGTAAAACGGATCTGCAAATACGCTAAATATGTTCACAAATAAAAAAAAGATCTGTGATTATCTCTTTAACATTTACACCTTTCGATCAGGCATTTGTGAATCCATTTTGTATTTGTATTTAATCGCCTTTCAAAGTAAATGTCTTATTGGTCAACCCAATATAGGAATTGGACACACAACCTCATCTCTACAGACCACACATCTTCCACTCTGAGCTATATGACTGAACACACTTCACAGTTGTTAGCCCTAACCTTACCCCAACCCCTCACCCTAACCTTACCCCGGCCAATCAAAATCTTCAAAACCAAATCTTCTGAAACCTGCTATCCACTTTTCACAAAATCCATTTTGCCTCTTGTAACGGAATGGCACCACCACCAGATGTTGATGTAAAACTGTTCTCTTTGCTTATATTAATTAATTATCTTGGGTGCTTGACCTTAAAAGTCCCTTCAAATTATAAGTATTGAACCCTCAACCTCCTGTCTTTAAGGCAGTGGTTTATTCCTGTGAGCAATCTGACCTGGGTTGACTCAGTGTGGCTTGGTAATGTAATTCTACACTTTGGGTCTTGGACTTCAAAAAACATTTGTACTGGGTGGGTGTTGTATTTGTAAAAGTCACTGCACTTCATGAGGATCGAGCCGAAGACTACAGTTCTTCAGAACAGTATTTTATCACTCTATATGCTATAAAATCTGAGATAGGTCTCTGGTAGAGTTTGTGTCACAACCTCTGCATGTTTGACTCATTTATTATGGGTGTTGGACTTTAAAAACCTAAGTATCGAACACACAACATCAGCTCTACTGAGCTTCCTCATAAGTCCATGAGCTATGAAACCTTATAGAAACAATATAACCTTTCAAAGTCATTTTCTTTGTGGTCAACCCAAGTAGGAACCAAACACACAACCTCAGCTCTACAGACCACACATCTTCCACTCATCTTCCAGCTTCCAGTCTGAACACACTTCACAGTTGTTAGGGACACATTTGTTCTTCTTCTGTGGGGAATTGGACTTATAAAGTTACTGCACCTAATAAGAATCGAACTAACAACCTCAGATCTTCTAACCTAACATCTAGCACTCTGATCTGTATGATCAGATGTGCTTTCCATATTTGTGTTAGAGCTTTTGATTTCTTCTCTCTTGGTGTTGGATCTAACGCTAAATTGATAAACATATTGCACATTGTTGGAGTTGCACTCACAACCTCATGCTTTCTGAGGTTTTTTTTATCACACTGAGCTAATCCATCTGACAGGCAGTGTTACATAAAAATACAGCTAGTATGCAATAAGAGCAACTAGTGAAATAAGTCATTCATTTAGGTGTTGAGCCAAAAAAGTCTCATTACCTTAATAAGAATTGAACTCATAACCCTAAAGCTTACAACGAGCAAGTATGCATTACAATGTTCTTTCATTGAAGAGTGAAAAATAATGTAATACAAACAATCACCTCTTAAACTTTATTTGACAAATGCAGGTTTTTAGGGCTTGTTAACACAGCGTATGAATATAGAAATGAGGCATAGAGAATAAAATAAAGCAGCAGTCTTGTGGCCTATTTTAACACAGTTTTTGAGCAGCATAAAACACAAAGCTTGTAAAACATCCTTGAGGGATCATATTGACATAATAATATTAATTACAATAATAATGGCAAAAAGTTGCATGTGATCAATGCAAATCAATACAGGCGTGCGTGAAAAAATGCATAGTAGGCGCACAACGGTCACACTTAAGTGTGCTGCTGCATATATTTGCAGGAACACATGCCATCTAAATGCAAGGACCATTTGCCACATATTTAAAGAGCAGAGACTCAATGCAGACAGTGAAGCTTGCATATATAAAAAAAGCAAAAAGCAGAGCCCGATCCTTCACAATAAAAGCACAGTTCTTAAGATGTAACTTACAACTGTAACGTAGTGGATAATTACATGACCTTTAGTACTTGTGTAAATCTGGACCACATTTGTTAAAGTTAATCTACCAACTGTAACATTAAGTGTGAATGAAAACTAAAATCATGGTTATGTAGGTATGTAGCGGGCCCTCGGGCTGTCCTTTTTTATGCTGTAGGTTTTGGTTTGTAGTCCTTGGCTCACTTCTCAAATCTCTTCAATTCAACAAGAATGCCTTTCATGTTTTTACCAGCGAAGGATTTCTCCCAGACGTACACCTCGATGATCCCTGATCCCAGACCCCACCGCGGATCCTGTCGTCAGTGAGGACGGAAGAAAAAGGAAATGTAAGTTTGATGAATAGTTGTTTAAGAACAAATGCAACAATTAAAAAATAACAATTCCAATAATCCTGTCAAAATATAGTGGAAAAGGTTTTCAAATAATACTTTCCAGATTTAGTTGGAAAGATTTTTTTTTTTTAAATAAAAAAAAAGAAGAAAGATAAAATACTGTGATCATTTTGAAAACATATCTAAATTGTAACAAACACACACACACACACACTTATTGATTGTTGTTTCAAGGTTTTACGGGAGACAGCAGAGTTATGGCAGGGGGGGGGGGAGGGGGATACGAGCACCGTCAGCAATATGTGTGCTGCTGCTCCATAAAGAAAGTGGTGGCGTTTCCTGCAAACAAATACAGCCCTGCTCCACACACACACACACACACACACACACACACACACACACACACACACACACACACACACACACACACACACACACACACACACACACACACACACACACACACACACACACACACACACACACACACACACACACACACACACACACACACACACACACACACACACACACACACACACACACACACACACACACACACACACACACACACACACAAATCACATTATCGTAAATGTGGTTTTATTAATAATAACAGTATCTCTTTTTAATGAACATTGCAGATACATAATAGAAAATAAATCAGAAATAGGTCGTCTCAAGAATCGTGAAAGTGCCTGGAATAATTCTGTGCTATATATCGTCATGATTTCATCATCATCATCATCATCATCATCATCATCATCATCATCATCAGAGCTCAGACATGTTAATTTCACCGTGAAACAAAAATGTGGATCAAACGCTTCTCGCTGATGTCAAACTCCTGTCCAAATCTCATCCATTTAACCTGCAGTCAGGTTTCGCGTTTCTACTCTGAAATATGTCTCGATTGTCGTCATCTAAACCCCGTTATTTTCTTGATTATATTTACAAAATGCCATGTCATTGAGCACAACTACTCCTGTGTTAGGAAGTGGGGCCCTACCTTGAAGCAATATCTTACTTTTCATTAGGGGGGAAGGTCTGATTGAGACACGTCCTTGGAGTAAAATCAAAAACTGAAGATTGCTAGAAGATAAAGGGGGAATAACACGTTTCTTCATTTATTGTTTCATCTCTTTGCATATTTTATGGCACTAAATGATCTTCATGTGATGAGATGCTGCAGGTGTTTTAGCATGAGGTTAGAAAGAAACAGAAAAGATGGCACAGCTGCAGGAGGGACACAGTCTGACATAGCTCTTTTTTTAGTATGATTTAAAGAGAAAATCGTCTAACTTACTCTAAGTAGCATTTCTATAGTGTAGAAACATATACTCCAGGATTTAATCAACATCTTTAAATACATTCTTGTCTCTCTTTATTTGGAAGGGGTTTATACTAAAAGGTTATTGTTGAGGAGAATACACCCCATGATTATTGGTCAGTAGGTCAGAAATATAATTAATTACATCCTCTAAAATGTTACCTTTAAATGTAAAAACGCAATGGGAACCACGGTGCATTCTGGGGCGGCCATCTTTGGAGGATAGCGTGTGTAGCTTAAGCAGCAGCTGTCAATATCCATCCCCCCCGCCTCCGACTCTCCAGTCCTCTTTCTAAATCCTTGGCCGACCATGTTTAAGAGGTTTAAAAGTGAAAATGTTACGCTTTTCATTGAGTTGCAGTCACTGATGGCCGACTTGACCTTGATGGAGACACATCCCATTCCCGTTAACTAAATATGACTTTGTCACCCAGTTAGCAAGTGTTACAAGCCATGTGAAAGCCCTCGTTTATTTGTCAACCCAGCTGACAGGGGGAATGGCTAACAAATAACAGAGCTGTCATTTAGGAGGAAGTGAATATCAGAGATACTTGTTTGGCCCCGGACAGCCTTGTTTGGTCCTTCAGAGGAAACCAGGTGCCATGGCCAGCCTCTCCTCCCTCTGCACTGACATCGCCCACAGCTCCATCACTGTATAATCAGCAAAACATAAATAAATCCTGCTGAACTGCAATCTCTTTGAAATGACAATAACTCCTCTTTCTAATGATGAAAACAACATTTTTCTTTCTCTAGCAATATAAGACATTTAGTGAATGACCTATGGTGAGCTGTGCAGTTCCACATAACAAAACATTTTTTTATTATCTCTCTCCGATCTCTACCTCCATCAGAAACTTGAACTAAGCAAATATCCCTCGGGTTACAAAAATAGACTTTTCTTTTTTCATAAAATAATACACATAATGAATTTTTCGGTGATATAATCATCTGTTAAGGTAAATAGCAAGGCTGGTTTTTTTTGTCTTTTAAAGTAATCGTGAGAGAAACAGAGAGATTTGTAGCCGAGCACCATATTCTTCATATCCTCCTCCGCGGATGTCTCGAAAGCGTTCGAATATGATCGATGTGTGAACCCAGCGTGTCCCTGCTGTCTGGACTCCGTGTTTTGCATATTCTGGTTGAGTCCAGATTCTCAACCCTTACGGCAGCCTCCCAGGAAATCCAAACCAAATCCCGAAAAAACTCCCAAAGCTTTACAAACTACACCGGCCAACACATAAAGATAAAGCTAACAACGGTTTATCCAAAACATCTCACAGGCCATTGCTTCACTTTTGTACAAACTGAAAAAGAAGATATAGTCCCAACTGATGATCAAACATAAGAGAAGTCCAAAACACTGATGCTACAAATAATTAGAAAACGTATGTACAGGACCCTGTATTCCTTGACTCTCCGGGTAAATGATGGTGGCATACAAACAAGTCTCCCTTGTTTTACTTTTTTTGTTGTTGTTCAGTTTCAATAAAAGCTCTCATTGGACCAAAAAAAAAGATGAAAATCTGCCACCACCTCATCCCCAAAGTATCCACCCTCCCCCTGATGTTTCCTGGTGCAAATTCAACAGCAGCAAGTGGCCAATCAGGCGCCTCTGCCTCCGGTGCGTTCAGGGTCCAAGTGCCAGAGGTGAGTCCTCGGTGCAGATCTCTGTCACCAGATGACGCTGGAGATGCTGGTCTCTCGGGGCAGCAGGGGCAGCATGGCGTTGTTCGCGTGGGCCTCCTCCATGCTCTGTTGCCGCGGCGACTTGGCCTGCGGTCGCTGCCCATTGATGAGCGTCATGGGGATGTTGCAGTAGGTGTGCTGGCTGCCCAGCGTGGACATGGGCGGGAGCGTGCCGCCGGGCGCCATGTCGTAGTCGTAGCTACGGTAATAGTGTTTCTGCCTCATCTGGGTGTGGCAGGAGTTGTGGAAGTTGGAGCGCAAGTCCGGGTGTGCCGTCGCCATGGCGGTGGAGGTGGCCGCCGCCATGGAGATGGCAGAGACGGTCTGCAGCTCGCCGAAGGGGCCCTGCTCGCTGACGTCCAGCACCTGCTCGTGGGAGATGCTCAGGGGCTCCATCTGCTTGAAGGGCATCTCGTAGAGCAGCTGCTTCCAGAACTTGGAGTTGAGCTGGTTGCTGGACGGCCCGCGCCACTTGATGACCGTCAGCATCTTGATGGTGTGTTTGAGGGCCTCCACCTCCTGGTAGTTCATGATGCCGCGCAGCTCGGCGCACTCGATCAGGATGACCTTGATCTCGCCGGTCACCAGCATGTTGCGCAGCCGCGTCTCCAGCTCAAAGATACTCCACCCCCTCCGCACCACGTAGCTGGGCGTCATGACGATGATGAGGCGCTTGCTCTGGTCCACACAGCGCGCCACATCCTCGATGTAGGCTGAACACACACACAGAAACACAGAGAAACACTTAAAAGCAGCACAAATGAGAAGCATATTCTCCATCATGTTTACTCGATGTGTTTACATAGCTTTAATTGTACATGAGAGCTTAGGCTTGATGAAAATATGATGAAATATTTTACATTTGGAGAAACGACTCTATTATCAAATTTTCAAAGAACCAAATTCAATTAACATTTAATGTATTTTACAAGACTGATTGAAACTTAAAGTTATTTATATTAAACATCTGAGGAAAATCTGCAGCAACACTGAGTCACTGTCACATTACATGAAGATAAAATAGACTCTTTTAATATATACTCTTACGAAAATAAACAACTTAGCATTTAAACAGAGAATTATAGACAAAAAGAGGACGAGGGTTGATTACTATAAGATGACAGTAAACAAAGAACACTGAAAGCCAGCCTACAGTGTGTGAACCTTCACTAAAACAGTAACACATTTACAGTATGGTGTTCAAATCCCTCTGCGTAATAATATCCTTGATAAAGTGTTTCCCCGGGCTGTCTTGGGCGTCGGGAGGAGAAGAGAAGGTAATGCCTGCTTTTAGCCTTTTTTGGAAAGGTAGACAGGATTAACTGAGCTTCACTTTTTCTAATCAAGGAGTGGGAAGATAACAAATAATGTGTACTTCACAATTACAGTCCACTGCTTTGTTTTCTTCTGGAACATATAGACAGAGTAACACTCGCAATTCTATTGGCTAGCGCTCCAACATATTTTAAATTATAGGCTAAGGGGCGGGACATCTCTGAGCGGCTGACCAATCCCAACAAAGCTGTCCAAATAACCAATCAGAGCAGACTGGGCTCTGGTTTCAGACAGAGGGTGAACAGAGGTGCTACAGCACATTAAAGCATGGAAACATGTCACAGTTGATTATATTCTTTCTGGGACTGACCCCACGCATCACAATTAAAATAAAAAATGGAATATAGCAATGTGCCTAATCTGTAAATAACGTAATGCGAGTAAAGAACATTTAAAAGTGTACCCTTTATGCAGGATTTTTAGGTTGTAACTAATGGCGTCGTAAATGCTTAAAAAACAGTATGTATTATTGCAGTAATAACGGCTATTAGCGACCACCTCATTACAACATTAACCAATTATAAAACCACTAGTAACAATGTTTAAACACTTAGATATGATGATTTCTTTGGGTGATTTTGTGAGAGATACTGCATCGGTGTGTGTGGACACGAGCGTTACACATCTGGATAATAAGTACCTCTAAGTAGTCTTGTGTCATCCTGGAAATGATCATTGGTGAAACCTAAACATAGATATTTGGATTCAAAGTATGATCAGAAGTTGTGGAGAAAAAAGCATTTAAAAATAAAATAACAGTTTTTTTAATGTGGGGACACGGCTCTGGCATAAACTGTGTTTCTGCACTGGTGTTTTTTGCACAACAATAATCGCACTGACCAGTTTATTCCAGTTTAATATGGGATATGGAGCATAAAAAAGCATAGGAAACACTTTTTACTTTGGTGGCAGGAGTAATACCAGGTATTATTTTGCTGCCATATACTAAAAAACATTGAGATGTGTAGAAATAATCCAGCATACTGGGGAATAACACGCTGCTTGTCAACAGCTCACGTGTTGAAACCCCAAATGGCCAAACTGTGGCTTTAGCCGTGGATTATGCTTTATTATATCAACTGTTGAGATGCTAATAGACTCCCAATGGGATCTAAATGTTTATACATGGACACATTAAGCCATCGAGCTGAAAAAAAAAGGCAGAGGCTCTTTTAAATCCTTGCATTTGTATGCCATTTTTCCCATATTACAACAGTCCCCCTCGAAATGGAGCACACAATCACAGCAAGGGATTCAGATTACCACGTTGGCACGGTGCCAATACTGGAGAGGAGCATAATTAGTAATGGCGGTATGTGCGGGGAAGACAGGCAGATGCATGTGTTCAAATGGAGGCTAATAACATAATGATATTATCAAACTCATCAAATTGCGTGATGAGTTAATCAACGATAAGCACGGGGCATGGTGAGGCGCTCCATTAGAAATATACTGTGGCAAAACATGCATTCATATCCATGCATATGATGGTGCAGCTGACACCAGCACACAGCAGCATGCAGAGGGACGCTTTATGTGGAGCTGCATGTTATAATAATGTTGATATACTCTATTTAATTCAGCTTTTAATGCCTCCCATTACAGGCAGGCTTTACATTAATGCACTGTAAATACTTGTTGTAACGCATTTGCACCTGTCGGCCACCGTAGAATCCTCTATTGATATGTACAATCAAAATATCTTAATTTCATCATCACAGTGTTTCATTTCTATGAACTGCTTTGAGCAACATATCTTAAGATTAATTATATTCCTCAAAACTCCCTCTCACCTTTCAAAAGACGGGGTTACCATGCTTTTATTTTGAAAGGTTACTTCTTGTTACATGTAATCCGAGGGTCTTCATCTCAGTTTATTAATACACGGCCTCCCTGCACAGCATGTGTAGAGGAGGAACTATAAAACGGACCGATCTAAACTGCGATGGTTCTTCAGAGGCGCTGCAGAGAACACGGGGATACTTCCAACACCCAGAAATACGATTAAGATAACCTAAAAGCTCCTAAAACGGCCACAAGTGGAAACTCTGTTTGGAGCAGTGGTTCCTAACACTTTTGTTTGTTAGACGAACCTCCCCGGATGAATATAATATATATATTGTTGTTTCACTACATCAAAACCACCCGCCATGTTCCCCATTTGTTCATTTGCATCTATGGAGGCTAATGGATTACATGTAACGGGATTACGTAATAAGGATACATACAAGTTAAGTGTATTCCCTCCCCCATGTGTTTCATTGTGTATAGGCTATGCCTGAATATGCTTATTGAAAGACAGGTTTTCCTTTTATTTTCTTATGTCACTTTGTTCTGTAAAAAACATCCTTTTGATATTTATTTTCTCTTCTATTTATTTTGCATTACATTTGATATTCAGGTAATTGCAAAAGTACCACCACAGTAAAACACAGTGCCTCGTTTTATTTCAATATATTTTATATAGCAGGTACTTGAAGAATTAGTACTGTAGGATAACAAAATACGAGGCAATGTTGAATATTGACATAACGATATCACTCAGTTCTGCCCTACTGCTGGTTTTAGTGCACTGCAAACGTGGATAAATAGTCTTGTTGAATTAAATAACCTAATGGAAATTAGGAAGTTAAACATTGAAATGACTACTAAAGGCATCGATAAAAACAGTTACATCCCCTACCATTACATTCTTTAAACTAATCAAAAAAGTGCAATAACATAAACTTAGCTAAAGGACAATTTATAACCCTTAAAAACCCAATTTATGTGACACCTGTGAAGCATTTTCATCCAGCTTAATTCCAGTGAAAGAAGTTGAAATACTATCAAGCCCATGTAGAATTAAACAAGATAGCAGTGTGTGTGCACCGCTAAAAATATATGGTGTCTGTGTGCCTCCTATCTTTAAAGTAAACAGTAATATACAGGTACTTTTGGTTGGAAATCACTGATTTTAGGACTAAAACACTTAAAAATAGTGTCTTAGGATGTTTTTCTCATGCTTATTTGATGTCCGTTCTGCCCTAATTGCGACTGTATCCCCTTAAAAGCTGTAATATGATGTTTATTTAGCGTATATCTTATTGCTAACAAGCCACTTTAAATGAAATAATAATGCTTGCTTTTGTTTTACATCCTTTTCCTGCTAAATTGAAATGCCACTTTCTATACACTGATCCACTCTGCCATTGGTTAGAAAAAAGCCCATTTCATAATGATTGAAAACAATGACGATGGTTCTTAAAGGGTCTAGTTACGCCACAACACGAATGCATCACAGAAAACAAGGCATGTCACCACGGCACGGACAACACGAGCAAGCGACAAAACATTCGAAACACAACGTGACATCGCCGCGAGAGAGAGAGCTTACTTCCTGTGGGGATCAAGTCCCTGTCTGGAATGAAGAGTTTATACCCATAATGCTTCTCCAGCACGTCGGGGAGGATCTCCAGGGCAAAGCGCTCTTCCTCTCGGGTCTCCTGGCTCCACTGGTCCGGGTCCACTTTGGTGTAGGACAGGTACGCGTCGTAGTCCTTGTTATCTGCAGGTAGAGAGGGGAGACAGACGCTGAGATTGGAGAAATGTCAAACCAGCAGGTCTTTCTTTAATTCACGTTATAACCCAGGTGCAAGGAATGGAAATAAAGCAGAATCAAACAACATGTGCATTAAGAAGCTCCTTAAACCACTTTGCTCCAATTAAATGTGTTATGCTTCCTGCTTTGGTCAGCAAAGTTTTTCCGCTGCTGTTCCCTCCAGATGCTCGTAATCTATTTCCATACTGGTGCGAAGGGAGCTATTCATTCAGTGGGAGACTTCATTGAGACAGGACGCCTCCATTACACTGACCTCTGGGCACTTCTGCCCATCTGAGTGCTTTTCATTACAGCTCCGTCCCCACTGACGAATAATGTTACCTTGATGGCTACTTTGCCCACTGCACGCAAAACAAATTAGGCTCCAGGCTGAGCCAAATGCCCAACAGTGGCTGCGCGTGGCGTGGCTCCATCACCCACATGAAAGCTCTGATTGATGACGGCTTTGAGAGGGCCGAGCGGAAAGTGAGAAGTGAGGGAGGAATTTAAGCTGCAGCACTTCAGTACAATGAGTCAGGAGGGTGCGGATACCCAGGAGCCTCTGACTACTCCAGGAAGGAGATAACAGCTCATGCAACAACTCAACTCCAATTTTGTGCTCAAAGCAAACTGAACAACACTTTGTCAATTACAGAGTCTCAGTCTCTTAGTCAGTAACCTGTAGACAGATACAACTTTGTAGCAAAATATAGAGAAGTGCTTTTCTGCTTCAAGCTGTGTCAAGAACATAAATAAACAAATGGTTTACATGAAACCGGATAAACAAATAAAGGTAATTGTGTTCCCTTACTTCTTGTTATTTTTGATGCACAGTCCCCTTTCTGATTCTGAGCTCCCATCTTTGACTGCCACAAGTCACATACAATGTATGCATACAAAAATATAAGATTCTCTGTGTTTCTATATTCACTAAAGAAGCCATATCTGTGCCACGAAAGGAGAGGGAATTCAGAATTTGGAACACTTTGAGGCGCGATGGGAACACAGCCCTTTGAGGTAAACTCATTAGAGACACGAGCAGTCGTTGGATCTGTGAGTTCCTGTCTTCATTATGACTGTAGTGCCTTTGCTTTATAGTGTCCACCTGCAGCGCAAGAGATGGGAGGAGATGTTTAACCCGTCAAGAAGAAGGGCAGAGAGGATGCAGGTGGAGGAGGGGAAGTGGAGGAGGGGAGGTGGAGGAGGGGAGTTGGAGGATGAGAGAGGAGCAGCTGGGTTCAAGAGGAAGAATGTGGCATCTATCTTCTTTTTTTCTGTTACACGGCTTGGTTAAATGCTCGATTCTAATTGGTCAATTTGGATGTTCCAGAAGACAGACAGGAAGTGAACACTGACGGGATCACGGTATGGGCTCTGGCAGTTTCTAAACACTGGTTAGTGGAAAAGAAAAGGTGAACAGACATGGACAGAACCTCGATCAGTGCTGCCGTCATTTTAAGTTACGTTGCTGTGGCCGCAGTCGTTATTCTTTTTTAATTAATGCACATTATCTCTTACTTAATATCTTCTCTATTTTACACTCCTCGGCCATGAGACTGTCAAGATCTGCTCACCTCCCGCTGGGTAATCTAGATATTTTTCTCTCTTACACAACGCTTTGTAATTAATCAAACTCCTTTTTATAACATGCAATTCCTTTTTTACAACATTAGGGTAAGAGTAATTGAACTGTAACCTCATAATCACTTAGTATAACTAACCGTTGGGTTTATATGCTGCCTCTTTGTGACATACAGTAAATCTCTGTTACTCTGTGGTAGCTGTGTAGGCAGATCAGGGGCTATTTCAGTGAGCTGATTCACTCGAGGTGAGTCTGGAAGGCGGGATGACCCCTGCAGGAGCACCTTGAGGAGTCACTCCTCACAGGAGACTGCTGAGGTGTATCTGAAGGCGCAGCACACCTCTGAAACACTCCTCCGTCTCACATATCGACCGCAGAGGGACGGACGGACGTTGCACTCGGAGGGGCGGGGGAATATATATGCATGTGCACATGAGCCCACAGTTAGATGGTGAACTCTTGAACCCGCGGTGGAGAGTGCCAAGAGAGTCGGAGGCGTGATCTCCGGGATATTTCTGGGCTCCATTACATCTAATGGAGAGGAGATTTGAATGTAACACTGGAGCTACAAAGGCACGTGAGGAGGACAGCTAATGAGACGCTGAGTATTTCTAAATATGCTGTTTTGTTTTCCATGACTAATAAACAGCTACCTGAGGTCGTAGGGCTGCGGCTAATGATCATTTCCATTATCAATTAATTCTTTATTCAGAAAAAAAGAGAGGTAGTGCTTGAAGATTCCTGGTTTTCAGAATCAGTTCCTGTATTTATTTTGAAATGAATTAAAGATCACATATTCTGCTCTTTTCTCAGGTTCATATTTGTATTCAATGCTACTCTGCAGGGATGTAACGATATATCGAATATATATATATATTTTTCAATAATTTCTTTCTTTTTAAACCTTTATTTAACCAGATGGTCTCATTGAGATCATCAATCTCTTCTTCAAGGGAGACCTGTCCAACATGGCAGCACGTAGGTTACAACATGAACATAAAACAACAGATAACACAAAAGGACATCGTATTTACAGGGCTACATGTACATACCTAGAGACATTGACAAGTACCAACAGTATATATATGTCTTGCCCTGTCAATAAGCCTCACCTTCTTGGCAAAAACTGTATTGTTGTTTGAAGTGGTGGAGAGACAATGCACAGTTTGACCCACTGCTGTCACCCATGGCCAAAGCATATCTCTCTGTCCCAGCAACATCAGTACCAAGCAAGAGAGTTTTTTCCACAGCAGGGGATATTGCAAACGCCCAAACATCCCAGCTTCTACCTGGGAATGTGGACATGCTCATATTCCTAAAAGATAACCTTGATGACGCTGAGTGAGTGAGTTAGAGTTGAGTTACTTGAAAAACTAAAGTGAAACTTGATTTATTCTATTGCAGGGTCTGATTATTATATTGTTGACACTTTAAAATACTAATATCCTACTAAAATGCTGTACAAATCAGATGTATTATTTAATAAAGAAAAAAAATTCAAGTAAACATTTTTTCTTTATTTTTCAATATCGCGATAAATATCGTACTGTGGACTTTTTATCGGGATATTATCGTACCGTGAGTTTTTGGTATCGTTACATCCCTACTACTCTGTGATGTTTACCTATGCGGTTAATATGCAAATGAACCAGGATTCATTACAGTCGCTGTGTGCGGGATGTGTAAACTATTAATGCTTGGTAACTACACCGAACACAGGCGGAGGCTCATAACTCCACGCCGTGCTGACAACACTGACATTCGTATTTATGGCAGGGTGCTGATGAGTTCCCACCTCCGTGACAAGCTCGCTCTGCTTTGTGATCGTGAAGCCTATTATTGATTCCACTGACACCCACACAATGTGACAACTGAGCGCTCTTTAACTAAATAGCCGTGCTGACAAATAGCTGACAGTCCCCCCTTTTGTTACGTAAAGCTTACAGTTTTACATCTGGCAGGAGAGGGAGGCAATTAGTTCTTCGGGTGGCCGCAATGAAGCACTTTCTTGGCAGTGTGTGAAGATGCATTTTGGGAACAATCTCTGTGTTGCAGACACTGGGCTTTAATAATGAAACATTTATGTTTTTTAATATCTTACATGCAGCTTTTTCTCAGTGAAAAAAAACGAAAAACCCTAAAGCAAATTCAGGCATAAAGTATTAGCCTACAGAACAGTACAGGCTCACAATAGGCTCTGCTAGTATTTTTAGAAATGTAACAGTAATTCAGTTATTTTGTATGCATCTGTAAGATAATACAGTTACTTTTTTTGTATCCAGATTACATAATCCTGTTACACCTCAACTCCCCAAGCCTGCTTTATCTTTGCGCAGAAACTCAGAGATGAGAGGTTCAGGTGCAGCTTGTGAATGTGGACGTGCGGCGGTAGCAGTGATCTAATCGACCGCGGCGTGGAGGAAAGTATCCGGGCTCTCCTGAGACCTCCGGAGGCAGCGTGCTGTGTCTTATTGAACCTGATCCCCTTATACCGGAGAACAAATTGAAAATCAGTTTCTCTCTCCAAGCACTCACTCGGGGTGGCGCAATTAAAGGAGACAATTGCTGTTTGGCATTAGGTTCAAGGCCCTACATTTTTTCTTCCTCTTTTCAACAAAGCTGCCTTGGGCCATCCATTACGGCAGAGCTCGTCTTTCCCGCGGCCGGCACAGCCCGAGGTAATGACTTTCATTGAAATGTCTGATGTAGCAGCCATGGCGGTTAAGAGAGAGAGCTGGGAGTGTATACGTAGAGGAGCACAATACTTTTTACCTTTAAACACTCATAACTCTCTTGCTGTCTCTCTTTCCACTCCAGCCTCTCCAAACTAATCTCATTCCCCCTGAATTCATTGCAGCGCTGGTACTTGAGAGACTCATTACGGGGGAATCAAATTAAAACTTGCTCCTTGTCTCAGTTTGATGCATTCTCAAGCCAAGACTCATCCACCAGGACCAATCAGTTTGTTTTTTGTTTTACGGTTGCTGATGGGGCCTCAGAGTTAATGTTTTTACTCTGGCACAGGGACTATGTTTGGATTTCCTTCAGCAGAATATATGATCCCTTTACTCATGTGCAGTTTGCATGCAGACACGTGGATTTGCAGCACCACAACCTAAGCCCTCTTAACTTCATGTTTTCTTCTTACATTTCCATAACAGCAACTCAAGACTATGTGCCTTAAGTGCTTTTGTACACCACTGGCCTATTGAAAGTGGGTTGCTTGTGGAGTTGTCCAACGTGTTAGGGTTACATTTGACAGCCCTTAAGAAACACACATATATATATATATATATAAAGCAATAAACACAAGTGAAATATCATGTAAAGCAAATATTGCAAACTGGAATGTCTCACATTATTTAGTCTGCCTGTGTTTTTAGGCTGGTTATTCACTGAAAGAAGTATACAAAATGTTTGTATGTACCCCGAAATCACCTGCAGCTGCTGCAGCATTCACAGTGTTTTAGTGATCAAGGCTGCTTTTTCCTTTTATAGCTAAACTCGGCAGCTCTGCCTGTTGGAGGCTCAGCAAAGCAGCGAGAGGGAGCTGTTTGAAAACCTGAACTCCATTACCCAGAAGTCATGCATTGTGATGTCAGGAAACAGCACGGCTGACTAGTGATTCGTTTTTCACAAGGATGAAGACATGGAAACACATCAAAGACCGGGGAGTCGTTTTGCTGCTGTTTACAGAATGTTTTTGCATAAAGATTTTGATTTTGCTCAGTGGGCTGAAAAGACACCTTGAAATTGACGACAACATTTCTGTGTATGTAACGATGGGAGGATCTTTTTATGTGGCATTTAGACTGATAAAACAGGTGCCTATTTGCATAAGAATAGTGCCACATCAAGATATGGAAAATAGCCCAGGTGGATCTTTGAGTAAAAATAAATATGTGCAGAGCAGCACTGATAGCGCTCAGGTTAGGGATTTGATTCTACAGAGGAGAGAAAGGACGCTTTCACAGCAGAGGAAGGCGCTTTAGAAATCCCCCACCAAAACAGGAAATACTGACAGATTATGGGAGGATTTATTATATAACGACGTAAAGTAAATTATGTCTTGCACATCTTACCTCCATCTATATCCTCGCTGCCAAAGTGGTTCCTGTAGAAGAGCATGAGCTCGATCCGGTAGCACTTGTACAGCGTCACCAGACAGATGAGCAGCATCAGGATGGCTCCCAGCCCGCCGGCCAGCTCCACCGTGTACATCAGCTCCGCTAAACACAGTGAGAGGGAGACATTTTAATAACTTTAATTAAAACCCAGAAAACCAGCAGCCAGGAATAGTTAAATAGGTTTTTACCATTTGTAAATGGTCTGCAAAGGCTAAAATCACAAAGTTCACGCCACCATTGGAATGTTTTGTTTTATTCCGGAACGTCACTATGGAAAACCCGCGCTTCTATTAGCCAGTGCTAAATAACCAATCAGAGCAGAGGAGCTCTGGTTTCAGACAGAGGGTTGAAAAGGAGCTGCAAGGCAAGGCAAGGCAAGGCAAGGCAAGGCAAGGCAAGGCAAGGCAAGGCAAGGCAAGGCAAGGCAAGGCAAGGCAAGGCAAGGCAAGGCAAGGCAAGGCAAGGCAAGGCAAGGCAAGGCAAGGCAAGGCAAGGCAAGGCAAGGCAAGGCAAGGCAAGGCAAGGCAAGGCAAGGCAAGGCAAGGCAAGGCCAAGGCAAGGCAAGGCAAGGCAAGGCAAGGCAAGGCAAGGCAAGGCAAGGCAAGGCAAGGCAAGGCAAGGCAAGGCAAGTTTATTTATATAGCACCTTTCAACACAAGGCAATTCAAAGTGTTTTACAAAAAACGAAAGACATTAAGAAAATGGCATTTAAAATCAGTCATTAGGCAGTATGAGAATGTTTGCGAAATGACAGAAAAGCAAGTAAAAAGCATTTGCTTTAAATGATTACACTTAAAAGCAGTGCAGTTTGTTTGAATAGTTCAAAAGATTATACTTGTAACAGTCACATTCATAATTTTAATGCGTTTTAGATGCTGTGGGACTTTATTTATTTCCTTCTTAGAAACTGCGAAATGTCAGAAAGTTGCAAGGTCATTTTGTATTTCTCTCATAACTTCAGCAAGATAAATACTCTTATACTGCATACTTGTTGAATAATGCATGATGCAGTCAACATGGATGAGAAAATGTCCCTAGCTATCTGAAAAATAATATGTGTTTCTAGGTCCAGGTTTGGATGAAAAAAGCATCTCCTTCTGTGTTCGCTTTTGATCTCTACCTTTCCATTTTGTTTAAATTCTCATTATGCCTTGATTATATCCACATGACACATAACTCTAACCGTAATGAAAGTACAACCCTTTCTATTCCTGTCACCTAATGCCTGCTGGCTTGATCGCATAATAACAACAAAAAATCAAATTGAGGCAGCCGGTACAAAACAATAGCATATGACAGATCTGACGGCCACGCTTATGAAGATTGGTTACACGTGTGTGCGACAGATTGAAGCGCTCCGCTCGCCCCGCCATCCGTCATTGCTGCAGTCTGACGCAAAACTCATGAAAAGCATGAGTGGAAGCTCAACTCATGGAAGTACTGGACTTCATTGTTGATTTTTCAGCTTCACACTAACTAAATATCCCCACAGAAGCAAGACCAGTAGGGTTATTCAGGAGGATGGTCGCCTTGAAAACCGAGTCGTTTGATTTGTCTTTTCATGATTCTGTCTCTTTCTAAAGGCTTTTTTTCGTTTTCTGTCACTCCATCTTTTCGCAGTTCAACATTTCCTCCCGGCGACGCCTCACAAAAGCCGGGTGGTCAGCCTTCGTTGGCTGACTAATGGACAACAGTAAAAAGGCAGGGATCGCGCACACACACAAACATGGCCGGAGAGGACTTAGCGTGCATCGCCATCCATCACCGGCGCACGTTTAACCTCGATGCAGTGCGCAATGCCCAACTCAGTGCGGCGGCCATCAGGCTGACAGGTCCCATGATGAAGGATGATGTTCTGGAGAGCTAACGAGCGAGGCCCGCGCTGCTTCATCACGCCTGTCTGTGCCACGACCTTCAGGCAAACTTATGTACTACGCAAAGAAACTCTGTGCAGAATGAGCGCACGCTGTCGATACCCTGGCTTCCTCCTCTTGTCTCACTTTCTATCCACTCATCCTGACGTTTTCAGAGAGGGGTGGTTGCAGCTAACAATCATTTCCACTTCTCCCCCTCTTCCTGCTCCACTCTGCCCCCCACCCCCCTCACTGAGCACTGCTCCTCTCCTCAGATATCTGGACAGTGTAATGAGCCAGCTGTTCCTCCAGAAGCAGAGATTACAGAGAAAGAAGCCAATTCTTCTCTGCCCGGCATCCATATTGTAGCGGAGCTGCAGTGGGACGGATTAAGACAAATTAGCTCCTGACGACAAGAAGGCTGGATTTGATGGAGCCACATGGCATCGTGCGATTCATCACCCTTTTTTTCCCTGCCTCTATTACTGCATCTCTGTCTGTGCCGCTAGGGAGAGAGATGAAAAGGCAAAGTGGCAGTCGAATTGTAAAACAAAAAAGAGAAAAGCAGCAGTGAGAACGGCATGAATCTAATCTAGGTACTAGGTGTCATATAGAAAAGGCAGCTGCCTACTAATCCATGTTGCTGCTGCTGATGTGAGATAAAACATGTATCCGAGGATGTGAAAATGAAGGAAAAAAGTTAGCAAAGAGGACTTTTTGACTGGTAGAAGTTGAACAACAAGTAAAAACCGCATCTCCGTGCTCACTTACATACAAGTGAGGACATATTCTGCTTGATGCTGGACTGAGTCGACCAAATTCATTGGGAGTGTCGCACAAAACTTTGATGCATTTTCCCCACAACAAATACACCGTGAATGTGGCAAAACGGGAACCGGTCGATTTCTCGTAGACCAGCAATCATGCGAGGACCAGCCTAATCTTCTCTGGTTTATTCTGAGATTTGGCTGTGCAGCATAAACCCCTTTAATATAGCAAATGGAGGGGAACTCGGTTGCCATCAAAGCAGGATCCAAAGCTGCAAGCTTAAAAGAGAGGAACCATATCTTATGTAAATGTATTCAACACTCACTGGCAACTTTAAGGCTGCAGAGGCCCCCCCAGCCTCCCTAAAAAAAACAAAAAACTCACTTATATAACCACTTTGGAGAGTGCATGTCTGTATTTCAAATCATCACGGACTCAACTTTCAAACAGTCATCCTCAGTGAAGCGTAATCAGAGGAAAAACTCAGAAATGTTTGCTTGAATTAAAAGACAAGGAGGAGGGGGGAAGGCAACAGTAGTCAGTGATGAAAGATGAGAAGAGTGAGAGCTTTGCGATCAAAGGAGTGTGTGTGTGTGTGTGTGTGTGTGTGTGTGTGTGTGTGTGTGTGTGTGTGTGTGTGTGTGTGTGTGTGTGTGTGTGTGTGTGTGTGTGTGAGAGAGGGGAGGTCATTACCAGACAGCCAAACAGCTTGACTGGCATCATAACACTGAAGGCTGCGTCTCTCCGAAAGCGATTTCTCTTCAAACTAATGCTTCCTCAGGCCGAGGCAGATGAATCGGCTTTCTGCTCTTTCTACAGTACCGTCCTATTTCTTTCCTCCCTCAGAAACAGCTGGTCCATTCCCCTAGTCCCGCTAGTTGTTCTTCTTTATACTCGGTATTGTGCTGCAGAAAGATTCCCCCTTTTTTTCCAAGCGAAAGCTGGTGGTATTGAATGGTATATTCCACCAAAGCTGTAACATGCCATTATTAAACCTCAAGGCATCTGCTAGATTAATGCTTGCATTTTTTTATTTCACATTGTTTACTTTTGTCTGCTTGCCTCACCTGTCTTAGAGAGCTGGATGTTGGCCTGTCTTCGCCCGTTGCCGTTCTCCACGTAGCACGAGTAGTTGCCCAGGTCGCTCTCCTCCACAGACTCGATGGTCAGAGAGATGGAAACTTCCTGCTCCCCTAGGTGCTCCCGGATAGTCCTGCAGGGGCGAGAAGGAGCACAGGAAAATTGACTGGTTGCATGTCGAACACTAGCATTTGCATTAACGTAACATTATCTCCCTTTGTGTGCCTACTCACTCAAAGAATGCTTCATAAAGATCACAACACCCCTACTTGTGGCCCTATTTATCGCCATGAAACCTATACTTTGCTCTACTTTGCAGGGGTTACATTTACTTTATCAATGAAGGTAGGAGGTGACAGACCGTGACTGACAAGGAGCCGGCAATAGAAGTCATGACAGATTTCTCCTCATGTAAAATAGTCCTTTGTCGTCTCGCTGAGGCTCTTGATGTTTGTGACATGTTCGGGGACAATAGTGTGACTGTCATGATGCACTACAGCGCAGAGCTATCACAAAACATTTTGCCACGAGGGTTAGTAAAAGGAAAAATCTCTTTAGATGCTTTTGTTGCATAGAATTGAGCCAGTGATATACACAAGACTGCTTTCTTCACAGAGAGTCCTAAAAACAACACTGGGACACTTCGATGCTTATTTGTCTCCACTGGACACTTGGCATGGTGTTGTGTTGACAACATTTTTTTTTAGCAGCCTGCTCTTCATTATCAGTGTCTTCACTAATTTAAATAAGCAAAAGGAAACAACTAGCTTCAATGCAAAAACGCTGACAATGCTAACAAGCCATGAGAAGGGGATGTCAAAAAGTCAAGACATCGCTTTTACACAAACTAAGCACGTTTCCAATTAACAGTCTGGGGTCATGTAAATGTATAAACATTTCACAGTAGAGGCCCAAAATACTAATATGAACCTTAACATTAGCATAATATGTCCTCTTAAAGCTATTGTGTGGTTAGACGCATGCAAACACGATGGCGCAGCTCGAAAAATATGTAAAAGAAATAATTCAAAAACAGCTAAATAAAGAACCAGTCCTACTAATAAAGCTTGGTTAAAGCATTTCTAACAAACATGCATGAAAAACAGGAACATACTGTATTTAGAGGAGCTGAATCTCTCTTGCTGTGCAAAAGCAGGAATGATATATGGGGCAAATAATCTTTTTACGGTTACAAAAATCACAAAGCCCTGTTTAATGATGCATGGGGGCTAATAGTGCAAAGAGGTATGGGTGCATCTGAAAAGAAAAACAAAACTCCTGCTGATGTATAGTTAGACTAAACAAAGCAGATTGTGAAGTGCAGGGGAGATAAAACACATTTCAATACAACCACTGCTGCATGGAAATAACTCACATTAGCCTTCCAAAGTGCTAATAATTGGTATCTCACTTAGAAAACCTCACTCTCGCAGTGACATTTCTTTTATTGACCATTAGAGGAACCATTAGAGGTAATTATGTTACATTTACATGGACGAGCTGCTTTTATAAAAACTAAAATATGAAGAATTTATTTTAAAGCTTCTGCAGGAGAGTCCTGTCTTGTATGTGAGCAGGAATATATATAATTGAGTCTTTTATTATAATTCCTGTGAGCTTTTTCTAACACTCATCCCTCTCCATTGTGTGGCCACTCATGCAGAGACACAGGGCTGTGCAAGGTTAGGATATAGATCCACACTGATGGCTTTTTAAAGAGGCGGCACCCATGTGTGACTCAACATAGACCAAGCTGAAACACTGTAGCTGTTTGCAAAGAAAAGTACAAATCAATCTGTGTTAACAAAAATACTCCATCATGGATTCTTGCTGGGGAATGTTTGGAGTGTTTGTCTGAACAATTGATGATGTGTTGAAAGCAAACATTTTGTGGATAGTGTGTTTATGGTAAAAAGCAGGATGGAGAAGTGGATGCTGTACTAGGGTTGCCAACTTCCAGAAATGGAAAAACGGGACACAGGCGCGAAGATTTTCGGGTTTCTGGCGGATTTAGTTACTTTTTTTGTTACTTTATTTCGGTTTTAGGGTTAGGGTTATGTTATTTAATTATTTTGGGGGAGCCAGCCTCCTAGGGTTCGAGGGGTCAAACCCCCCCAAAACCCTCAAAATGCATAGAAAACTATGCATACCTATAACACAATACAAACACAATGGTCTTACACCTGCATTAGGCTACTACATCACATTGTAGGCTACATCAGCATGTTCAAATCGGATAGGTGGGCACTAGGGACATCTGGGCAGCTCGATGTACAATTGGCTATTTTGTCCAAAATGTTAAAAAATAAATATTTAAAAAATGGTATTAAGTAATGCAAAGTATACATGATGTGAACATGCAGTACATCATTATTAGACTTAATGTTATCCTTCAACCAACCATTTTCCCATCAATCAGCTGACACACACACACACACACACACACACACACACACACACACACACACACACACACACACACACACACACACACACACACACACACACACACACACACACACACACACACACACACACACACACACACCACACACACACACACACACACACACACACACACACACACACACACACACACACACACACACACACACACACACACACACACACACACACACACACACACACACACACACACACACACACACACACACACACACACACACACACACACACACACACACACACACACACACCCCGAGACAGATCTCCACTCACGGGCTTTACCCAACTGTGTTTTTCTTCCACTGTTTGTTGTAAGACACAAGTCTTTTCTTTTTAGAAGGGCCCAGAACCACATCCTCTCTCTCTTCTCCTCTTTCATCATCACCTCCTCCACCGGCAGCGCTCATTTCCCCACACGACTGAACAGGCTGACATGCCACACAAACAATGATGCCGCGCCCGCGGCCCACCGGAGAAAATCTCACACACACACACACACACGTGCGAGCATTGTGCCTGCCCTGTCAACTGAGCGGTCCTAGTGCCCTTCACAAACGCAGGCACGCAGCCAGACACACTGCATTGCGCGCAAACAGAAAAATATTTTTTATTTTTCCCTTTACACGGGAATCCGGGACAAACAAAGTCCCGTACGGGACACGCCCCTTTTGGCTCAAATACGGGACGTCCCGGCTAATACGGGACGGTTGGCAACCCTATGCTGTACACACCTCAGGGATGTTTGAAAAACATCTTGGAGTTTATGAAAGCATCATGGCTGAGGGGCCTAATATTACATCCTCATTATTTATTTCAAACAAACATCTCACATTAGCCTGAAACCTTTTATTCCTCTTTGAACGGCTCTCACAGCATATATCTCTATATCATCCAGTAACATCTCTCCGAGCTGCCTTCATGTGACACCTGAACTTTTGAACTGTGCCGAGTTGTCATGATTTGCTTTATTTTACTGGCTGTTGCTCCATAAAGTGTTTCTTTCCTGCTGTCTGCACCTCTCCTGACTACGCCCCTAAGGTACATCGGAATTAGATCAGACCACAAGCTCTTAAAAGCAGACTTGAAATGTAAAATTGTTTACAATGACAGATCACCCAATAGCTTGGAGTTAGCTAGCTTGTTGCATTAGCAACAGTTTTTGTTCCAGTTTCTAACCAGTCTGACACAGGAAACAACTATCACTGCTCACTAGTGTTTGGAAGTAAGCAAAGGAGTCCAATTAAGGCTGGGAGTTTAGCCTTTGCAGACCATTTACATGCACAAAAACCTATATAACACACGACATCATCACGTTGGTGAGACGTACAACGCTAATAGGTAGTGGAAGCAATGCTGGACTGGATACTCCACATGGACATATCTGAGTTAGAAAACAATGATATTTTACACTTAAAAGGCCACTGAATGACCGTGCACCAGGGACTGAACACTGCAGCTGTGACTTTGCCTCTGAGATCCATGAAGTGTTGTTGCCAACTATGTTGAAACATGGTGCCAAAAGCATCATTTCATGCATTACAGGCGGTTCTTTAGGGAATTCTCCTGCGTGATTAATTTCCATTTCAAAGCTAAGAACGCATGGAATGATGTCAGGGAGTGGGTTTGAAGCGGCGCACATGAAAAATGGGAACAAAAAATAAAATAAATAAAGACACATAGATGGGGAGGCGGTATCACGCCTTGGTGCACAACAAAAAGATGCACTTGAACACACATGAACACTTTTAAAGAAGCTCAGGGTCACACTCTTGATCTCTTGGCTTGTTACCTCATTTGAGTATCATATGAAAGCAAGGTTTCTCACCGCATGTGGTACACTTTTACTTTATTCCTCATCCTTATTATCCCACCTACCCCATGCCGCCACCTGCCACCCCCCTTAGTCTTGCAGGCTCTAATTGGCCCGGTGTCCTTCACAATAGAGCGCGGCGCTGAGAGCTGGACACAATGTGCTAGATGGCTAATGGAGACATCTCCAAATGCCAGGTCAGTGACTCGGCCGCTAGCTCTCCTCGCAGTGTTGTCATGCTGCTTACAGTTAACCTTTTCGTTGGACGCCATTTGTAGACGCCAGGGATTTTCTGGTCACACGTAGAGACCGTCAGAGGAGAACAGTGGGGAAGGACATGAAAGGGTGTGTGGATGTGTGTGTGCTGTGCACTACAACAAAAATGTGATTCTACCAGGATAAGATTGTTGATTTGGAGTAATAACAAGAACATTTTGAGATACAAGATTAAGTGAAATGCTGTTATAATAAGAACAAATTGTTCTATGTTGTAGAAAACATGTCACAGAAGAGGCACAAAATACAAAAGTGAAACCTGAAAATTAGCATAAAAGGGCCCCTTTAAATAGCTAGTTTTTCCTTTTCATTTTTCCAATATGACCTAAATGTATCTGAACCAAAACATATCTCCGCCACTATCGGAGAACATCAACTTGGCTGCTCTACATAAAGTTTTCTAGACTTCTTTTTCCACATGGATGTTTCAACCACAATGAAAACTGCAAGTTGCTGTTTCCTGACATAAAGTTGAATGGGAAGTTATTTGTAGTGTGCCGTTTGGAAATGATAACCTACTTGTTTGAGAGTTCAATAAACTGGAGATCCAATGTCCTATACTACCTGAAACCAACTTTTTACCAGAAATAAACTCGTTTTTCATAACTTCAAATGCATGGAGACCTCTTAAAAACAGCTGTTTTCCACCAGATTTTGGAGTACTGTTTCCACAGATGAGCCAGAGATGGAGGTCACCCAAATGGAAAAGGAGGCCAACACATACGTTTATTCCCATTTTCTGTGCTGCTCTGCTATTAATGCCTCCACTTTATATTTCAGTGCAAACTAATCTCTGATTACTTGCACGGATAGAACAATGCCTGAACCGTGCATATAGATTGTTCATGATAAAGAATGCATAGCTATCTGCATTATTAAACAGCCGCATACATCATGCATGGATTTCATTTAAATGATAGCGCGTTGTGATAAAAAGTTCCTTTTGTGTTGAAGTGTGGTCACACAGGTGTGGTAACTGGGTTTAAATAGGTGTTTACCAGTTGTGCTCCAAGGCCCTTTGCTGCTTGTGACGAGACTAAATGCACCTCATGAATTGGTTAAAATATGATGCCCGAGCTTGAGTTTTACTCCCACACACTCCCCTCCGCCTGAAACTCCTCCATTGGACTCCTTTGTTCACTTCCGGAACATAGTGACATCACTATGTAACACTCGAACATGATATATTCTCTTTAACACTAAAACTCTTACTTCATTTCGGTCTCTTGAACGCGCTCCTCATCCAGATCCTCGATGAACTTCTCCCCCTTCATCCAGTAGATAAGTGGACTGACGTCTCCGCTGTATCCGAAGAACGCTCTGCACGTCAGGTTAAGAGGACTTCCTGTTGGAGACAAGAGACAGGGGATGAGGTAACACGTGAATCAGGAAGATTGTTGCTATTTTTTTACACTGTCAACAGTATATCATTTGCACAACAGGTAATATGTAGAGTATGTTGATACAGAGTGCACAACATTTCTTTCACAACATAAAAAAGCAGCAGGGAAACCATAGAACAGACGCTGCTACCATCAGTTTTGCAACACACAGGTCTGGTCATATGTGATATAACACCTAAACAATCATGAGCTTCCTGTTTTTATTCTTTCCAGACTCCAATTTACTCATTTCAAAAACTCAACAGCAGCCTCTAGATTCCATCAACTTACTAACCGTCTCTTTCTCTCTTAAACCATCCCAGAACCTTTCTAAATTCCCTAATGGCCTCTTAAACTTTTAAAACACACTCTTTTAGCCTCTTTCGTGGCAAATTCACAGCACTGATGCACAGTCATAAAAGCTTTTGTACACTTTGGCACACCCTTTCCATATTAGACCCTACATTTACAATATAATCACTGCATTCTGCAGGAAGTACATTAGGGAATGTAGCTAAAGTATGGTGCATCTTTAGGGATTGTGATTTGCACTATTAATGAATGCATAAAGCTTGTGTGATACTCACAGGTCAAACTGTATTGGCCAGCATCTATACACACTAAGACGGAGCTCGTACTGCAACCCATTGTACGTGATAGAGATGTCCCGCCCCTTAGCCTAAGTAATAAACACTGCTTAAATGTCCTAAAATATGATATTTGGGAGAGTTTAAAATGTATTTGTGTTAAGTAATAGTTGAAGTATAGGCAAACACTGAAAACAATACCAGTTCAGAGAATACAAGACTAGAAAAGCGAGGAGAAGGAGAGAAGTCAGCTATCCAGTCATTTGAGGTCATTCTGTGTGCGCTGGCAGGCGGCAGGCTTCCTGGGATGATGAAGACCATGAGAACAGAGAGGTAAGAAAGTGCACAGGAAACACATATCAACAGATAAACCCCCCCGCCTTCACACCAGCGGGGGGAGTCCTCTCCGCTCGGCTCATTTTGAACACATGCCCTATCTGAGGAGAGACAGATAAACTCATTTTAAACCCGTTTTCGCTCTCTGCCTGAGATTAGAGACCTCTCATTATTCTTTCACACTTATCACACACACGCCGGGCCCACGGCACATCCGAGAGTGTGTGGCCTGTGCTGTGACAGCCTCACCGGGGGGGGCGAGGGGGAGAGAAAAGAGCCACATCATCAAAGCCTTGGAATGACTCTGATCCATAAACAAGCCGCCGATGATCAAGGAAGGCTCCAGCAGTTGTGAGTCCAGGAAAGGCAAAAAGGTGATTCAGCATCTCTTCATTAGCACTCCCTGCTCATTGGCCCTATGGCGAGGACTCAGAAGTCTGTGAGATGGTAGATAACTGTGCCGTATAATTGGGTACTTGCTATTTCAAAGATAATAGGGATTTTATTTTACCAAGGCCTGCTCTAATTTGACCCTCTAGTGTAGTGTTGCACGCTCAGACGATAGCTAGCTTTAACAGAGAAGATCTAGTTTTGTGATTCAAAAGAGTTGGAGGACAGTTTCTGCATTTGTCTGTGCATAAGAGAGAGAAACAGAGATGTTAGGGATGCTGGGATCTGTCCTGGACCACACATACACATTCACACACATTGCTATTCTTCCCACTTCCACAAGGGGGCTCTATGGTGCTACAAAGCAGGAGGGCCAACGTGCAGTAAGGAGCACATGAAACAAACACACACACACACACACACACACACACACCATTTCGACAGGTGTAGGCAACAGTCAAAGAAAACACAGATCCTTTTGTGTGCCACCTTTGATGTCAAGAGGCTTCACCCATGGATGGGAACAGCATGTTGTGTTGTAGCACTGACAGCTCCACTGCTGTGCAGACAACAGCCGCGGCGTCACTCTCCAACACTTATTCCAAGGGGCTCTCATGCATATGGCTGCATGTTGTTTCCCTAACGACGGCGTGTTAATTTGTGCCGGTTTTACTGTGAGCAGCTAAGCTTGCACGAAAGAGCTTGAATGCTCAGTTTGGGGAAATGCACAAACAACCGTGCAGAGATTTAAAAATGCACAGATTCCAAATCCCAACCTCTGGTCTTGGTCAGGGGGTTAAAGTGAGTCTTAATGCGATTGTCTAATCTCAATTATCTCCCCTTCGTCTGTGGCAGCGGGACGGAGACGTCAGCAAGATTTCCGTGGCTAAGCGGACACACTGGATGCCATGAAACCATGAAACAGGGTAAGAGACACAGAGTATGCATTTATGCGTCTGTGTGCATGTGACATGTATAGGCTAGTGTGGGAGAAAGAGGACATATGTGCACGTCAGCGTGGATGACAGAGGAATCACACACACGGGAGAGCAGAGCATTCCCCCTGGGGGGGTCCGATAACCAGTCAGTATCTGGTGTGACCACCATTTGCCTCACGCAGTGCAACACATCTCCTTCGCATAGAGTTGATCAGGTTGTTGATTGTGGCCTGTGGAATGTTGGTCCACTCCTCTTCAATGGCTGTGCCAAGTTGCTAGATATTGGCAGGAACTGGAACACGCTGTCGTATACGCGGATCCAGAGCATCCCAAACATGCTCAATGGGTGACATGTCTGGTGAGTATGCTGACCATGCAAGAGCTGGGATGTTTTCAGCCTCCAGGAATTGTGTACAGATCCTTGCAACATGGGGCCGTGCATTATCATGCTGCAACATGAGGTGATGGTCATGGATGAATGGCACAACAATGGGCCTCAGGATCTTGTCACGGTATCTCGGTGCATTCACAATGCCATCAATAAAATGCACCTGTGTTCGTCGTCCATAACATACGCCTGCCCATACCGTAACCCCACCACCACCATGGGCCACTCGATTCACAACATTGACATCAGAAAACCGCTCACCCACACGACGCCACACACGCTGTCTGCCATCTGCCCTGAACAGTGAAAACCTGGATTCATCTGTGAAGAGAACACCTCTCCAACGTGCCAGACGCCATCGAATGTGAGCATTTGCCCACTCAAGTCGGTGACGACGACGAACCGGAGTCAGGTCGAGACCCCGATGAGGACGACGAGCATGCAGATGAGCTTCCCTGAGACGGTTTCTGACAGTTTGTGCAGAAATTCTTTGGTTATGCAAACCGATTGTTGCAGCAGCTGTCCGAGTGGCTGGTCTCAGACGATCTTGGAGGTGAACATGCTGGATGTGGAGGTCCTGGGCTGGTGTGGTTACACGTGGTCTGCGGTTGTGAGGCCGGTTGGATGTACTGCCAAATTCTCTGAAACGCCTTTGGAGACGGCTTATGGTAGAGAAATGAACATTCAATTCACGGGCAACAGCTCTGGTGGACATTCCTGCTGTCAGCATGCCAATTGCACGCTCCCTCAAAACTTGCGACATCTGTGGCATTGTGCTGTGCGATAAAACTGCACGTTTCAGAGTGGCCTTTTATTGTGGCCAGCCTAAGGCACACCTGTGCAATAATCATGCTGTCTAATCAGCATCTTGATATGCCACACCTGTGAGGTGGGATGGATTATCTCGGCAAAGGAGAAGTGCTCACTATCACAGATTCTTTAAGATTTATGAACAATATTTGAGAGAAATGGTTATTTTGTGTTTATAGAAAATGTTTTAGATCTTTGAGTTCATCTCATGAAAAATGGGAGCAAAAACAAAAGTGTTGCATTTATATTTTTGTTCAGTGTATGTAACGGAGCTTTGATGGTGTCCTGGAGACACTACTGAGGCTATTTATGTCAGGCTTTCATTTGATCATTTACTGTGTTATCTCTGAATATATTAAGACAGAACTTTTGTTGGGTCGGATTAGCCTTTATTAACGGAGTGACATTGTTGAAAGGTCGAGACCAGAAATGGTCCCAGGTTGGATTCGGACCTAGGTCCTCTACCTGGGACCTGAACCCCAGTAAATGGGCCCATCAAGGTTAAGTACTTCTTGAATCAATATAAACCTTTCTTTGTGGAAATCATCAAAAGCCTGTGCTTTTAAAAGCACAACCAAAACCTCTTGACAAAATGTCAGAATGACATTCCAGCAACTTCTGGCATTGATGGAAAACTCCTCTTTTATCTGGCCTTTTAGGAGCAATGATATTCCCTCTGAACCGTAATTAGGCCTTCCTTTAATGCAACCGTCTGGGCTGAAGATAAGAGGACATGAGATTGCCCAGCAGCTTGTGATCAGCGGGATAGCAAGCAACTGATCTGGATTGAGAAGAAGAAGCCCAGGAATTGAATAGTTGATAATTTGATTGTCGATGGTGAAAGGAGGTTCCCAGATTTGCATGTGGGCAGCGATTCTTGAAAATATTTGTTTACAATCTCTGAATGAGAGCGAGCATTAGCTTAATTATCTGCAAAACATCCAGGCAGCGAAGGGTTACATAAGTGATGGAGCTGTAATTGCAGTGGCGGGGTACCCACTCAGATCGGGGTTGCCAGATGTGCGGTTTGATTGTCTCTCTGTTCAGCCTTCACTTTGTTTTGTTTATCACAGTCCAAACCTCTCCAGTCACGCATTTTAAGACAGCCATTGTCTGTGCTATGTTTAATATCCATTTAGCCCGCGTATGGTCCATCTCCTGTTATTCATACTTGGCACTGCACCTCATTATCGCATAAGTAGGCAAACTGCTGCTGCTGTTCCCCCTTAATTAATGCATGTAAAGCAGATATGAAGAGATGCAATACCATTTTCCTGAGTTTTATAAGCATGTTAACATGTGGCAATCATAACACATAATGCTCTATGATACGTTATGAAATTACAATTTCTCTGCTCCGTGCTACTTTTGCCAAGGACGAGCCGTGTATGGAAATTAAATAAGGTTGTACTGTTTAATATTACAGGGCAGCGGGAAACAGATAAGAAAACAGGCGGCTGGGGGTTGGGTAAATAACAAGTCCAATTTGAGCCTTGTGGAACTGAGAATGACAT